GTGTTAACGAGCAGTTGGACAGGTGTACCTAATAAAGTGGCCGGTGAGTGTATATTGGTGGTCATTTTTGACTGTGTAACTTTACAAACGGCACCCCATACTAACAGACTTCATGGATTTTATCTTCAACTAACCATACTTTTAGCAACTCTTCAAGAAACCTGAAAATTTCTAACTATAGTCATTTTTATAATTACTGTTAGGGAAGGCAATATTGTTAACAGTAATGTCAAATATAATGAATTGTATGTTTTTGTTTATTTTCTTCCTGTATTTTATAGGTATTTCTCTGTGACCAGACCTTTGACCTACAGGGCCAAGCGTACAACCAAGCGAGCAATGACCATGATTGGATTAGCTTGGACCATCTCTTTTATCCTTTGGGCCCCAGCTATTCTGTTTTGGCAGTACATTGTGGGTGAGCGAACCATCCAGCCAAATGAGTGCTACATCCAGTTCTTGTCTGAACCAATATTTACCTTCTGCACTGCTATTGCTGCATTCTACCTGCCAGTGACAATCATGGCAATTCTATTTTGGAAAATTTACCAGGAAACAGAGAAACGGGCKAAAGATGTACAACACCTCAAAGGATCGGGTGTAACCAACAGTCCAAGCCAGGATCAAAACCAAGGAAGTGGTAGTAGAAGGGAGGGAAAGGTTTCAGTTAGCAGCCAGAACATTGCATCATCCACGCCTCAAAGGATAAGCTCTCAAAGTAGCTGTGAACTGTATCAACCTTCCTCACAGAGTAACAAACCCAACACCATCTTGGCCCAAGGAAACAAAGTTATGTGTGGTACATTTTGTTTCCACTTTTCATCTCTTCTCCCTGCTCGTCATACATCCAAGAGGTCCTACAACACAAGTGCTGTAGAAGAAGCAGAGCACAGCAGCTKTGACAACTTTACCAGTGATCAGGTTGATGCTTCTGGAAACCAGACTGTTTCAGAGGTGGAAGCTGACGGAGCACAGCCTTTACCAGGTTGGACACAACTCGAATAAGAGGTTTTGTTAGTGTGATGTTTAAAAAACAACTACAAAATATATATGTTTGTTGATGGTGGTATATTTTTTGTTTGTCTGTCCAGATAGTATGAAGTCATCAAAGATGAAGAAAAGCAAGGATAAAGAGCAATTAATAACTATCGAAAGTCCCAAAGGCTCCAACCATGTTGCATCCTCTTCATCTGCAAATCAGACACCTGTGACCACAAGAGATGTTGCACTGGCCAAACGCTTTGCTCTGAAAGCCAAAACAGAGATGAACAAGCGCAAAAATGAAAAGAAGGCTAATGAAAAGAAAGCAGCAAAAACACTCAGTGCCATCCTGTTTGCTTTCATAATGACGTGGTTACCATACAACATCATGGTGTTGGTCAACACGTTCTGTCAGGACTGCATCCCTGAAACCCTCTGGGCTCTTGGCTACTGGTTGTGTTACGTTAACAGCACAGTCAACCCTATGTGCTACGCTCTATGTAACAAAACATTTCGCACAACTTTTAGGGATATTTTGTTATGCCAGTGGAGGCAACAGAAGAAAAACTGTAGCTTTCAACAAAAACAGGCTGCTGTGTTCCGAAAGAGAGACTCAAGGTGACTTTCAGTTCAAAAGATTTATTAGGTAAAATACATAACTTTATGCTTGCATGGATTATTGCAAGTGTTACTATTTTTATCAAGAGATGGTGAAGGATGCTTTGTTAGTGTATGTGAAATGGCATCCAAGAAGAGGTTTTAAATTGGAGTTCCAAAATAATGTTCACAGATATTTATCAAAATAAAATATGAGCTCTAAGATAGCTTGGGCTTTTCTAAAAGCAAGTTACAAATTTGCAAWGGGGCTAAAACAAAATTAAGGTAATTATTTGGAAATTTTGAGAAATTGCTGCACTGATATCCTTCAAAATATCTTCCAGGTTTTTCTGAAACAACTTTCATCAATGACATCCCACCATATTATTTTAAACAAATAAAGGTTGGGTGGTTGATTGGTTGGTTGGTTGGTTGGGTGGTTGATTGGTTGATTGGTTGGTTGGTTGGTTGGTTGGGTGGTTGATTGGTTGATTGGTTGGTTGGGTGGTTGATTGGTTGATTGGTTGGTTGGTTGGTTGGGTGGTTGGTTGGTTGGTAAGGGTTGACTGGTTGGTTAGGGTTGGCTGTGTCCTAAAAAATAGTTTTTTCAAATTAATTTTCAACATTTTGACTTTGATGTTGACATTCAAAAACAAGTTCTTCCTTCTCATTTTTCCTTCTGAGTGGCTGTAATACTTTATTGTGCAGTTTGTCTGTGGCTTTTGACGTTTGACCACTTAGTATGATTTTTATCACATTCACTCCAGAAATTTTCCAAATTGTTTGAATCTTATGTAATGTTCATCTGTAAAATACTGTAAAAAAGAAAGATTGTGAAGATGCATATGTAGGAGATTTTGAAAGCATTTTGATCACTAAATTTGTCATGCTTGTTATTATAGCACCTAATATAGGAACTTTGTATTGTGCAATAATACCTTTAAGAATATGGGTTTCCAGTGCAAAAGAAGAAAAACTGCCTCTGAAAATGGTTTTGCTTCATCACAATAACGTTTTTCACCATGTTTTCATAGTTGTTCAAAAAGGCACGACTTGTTAAAATGTAGACTGGTTTTCAACAGTCCCACAGATAAAGTACTCACACTGTATTGTTCACTGTATTGTTCAGAAAAATCCATGAAACTTTAATCAGTAAGTGATGAACAGAAATGTGAAGTTTGAATTGTGCTTTCCAAAGATAAATTTAATTTAAATATATATCATTTATATCTTGCCTTAAGTCTTGTCAGGTGTGAATCAGAGCAATTCAACATCTGAAGCCTTACAGTTTACACAGTAAAAGATACATATTAGGTAACCATTTTATCTTTGAATCTGAGGGAACTAAAAGAAAGTGAAAGTTTTATGTTTACTAGATGTTGTAAAATTCTTTCACAAATGTCTTACATTAGTTTGCTGACAATAGTTCCAAATACCTGTCAGTCTTGGCAGAAAACMTTCAGGTTCCTGCAAGAACGATGAAGGGAAACTTTGTCTTTCAGAACAACAACAACCCAAAAATACGTCCAAATCAAGAAAAGAACGGTGCCACAAGAAGAAGATTAAAGTGTTGGAATGGCCCAGTCAGAGTCCAGACCTGAATCCCAGAGAAAATCTGTGGGATAATCTGAGAAGGGCTGTGCACAAGAGCTGCCCTCACAATCGGACTCATCTGAAGCATTTTTGCAAAGAAGAGGGGATAAATATTACCAAATCAAGATGGGCCATTCTGGTAGACTCCTGCCAGAAATGACTGTGCAGAAATGACATAAAATGTAAAGCTGATTCAAGAAATTATTAGTTTAAGGCTGTGCACATTTATGCAACCACCTTATTTTATTTATTTTTTAATGATCATTTTTACTCCCTTCTCTACAAAAATAATTTTTGTACAGATTTTAGCCTACATTAAAGGTGAAAAATAATTAATCTTGGTCATTTATTTACACCATAAAAACCTAGAATTTAACAGGGGCATGTTCACATTTTATATCCACTGTATTATTTTACACTGTGTAAATATTAGATAAATCAGAGGCACAACAAGCTTGTAATATTTAATAATTTGTGCTTAATTCGTGCATGGGTCAGCTGAGTTATACATGTATACCAAAATATGGTACAGARGTACTTTCAGGTGACAACAGGGGTCACTCTAATTCACTTACCTCCTAATTCACTGTWGTATAAATTAATGTTAATATAATTACTCTGTGATATTTTAATACAACATAAAAACAATGAAGCAGGAATGTTCCTATGAAACACTAATTTCTGATTAAATACTGCAAAAATGAGCCATCTAAAAATGAGTTTGTTTTAATTATTTATTTTGAATATGCACAAAATATCTAACTTCCCACTTATTACATAACATATATCAACATAGCAATTGAATAAGAGAGAAATAAAAAAACAAGGAAGCTCTAAATTGTAAAAATTGTACAACCAAAAAAGCAAAAAGAATAGTTGGTATAATCAAAAAGAAGTGAATATAAAATATCGGTAATTATACCTCAGCCCTTTGTTCCTCTAAATTTACACAAATTTTTATTTTGTGCTTCCCGTGATTTTCAATTTACAGGATTACAATCTTGATTTGTAATGAACAATGTTAATCAATATACTTCTCAAGCTACACATTTTTATACATTTYCYTAAAYTGCCTTGTATTTGGACATTGTCCGAGACCCCCAACCCCCACTTAATTTTTTCCAAAGTCTAACCCCAGAAATAGATACGCAGAAACCTTTCATGGTTGTTCACATAAATAAAATTTTAAATTTGTTTGCCCCTCTTAGATTGGACCCTCCCTCACGATTCTTGAATAAATCTTGAATATTTTTTGGCAGTTGTCCCTTATTTGCCTTATACATAACAATCTCTGTCTGATAAGATACAAAATCAATAAATTTAATGGATCTGTGTGTTCCAAATAACTGCCTTTATGTATAATTCTTATTATTGTTTTTTTTTTGCAGATTAATAAGTGACTGCAGTAAAGTTTTATAAGTATTTCCCCAAATCTCTGCAAATTAATTTAAAAATGGCAAAACAAGTGAACAGTAAAGCCTACRCAATGAAGATTGATCTGATACTTGTTTTGCTTTATTCATAACTGCAATACTTCTTGAGATATTGGATTGTACATGAGCAATATGTGGTTTCCAAGTTAATTTGTCATAAGATTACCCCAAGGAAGTTAATTTTATGCACTTTTCAATTTCCACTTCATCTACTTCTATACACACCTTTATGTTTTCTGTGTATTTACCAAATAACATAAACTTGGTTTTCTGTACATTTAATGATAATTTATTCCAATCAAACCATTTTTAATATTTTTTGATTCTTCATTTGTAACTGATTCCAGTTTTTAATATTATTATTAGCCCCAAAAATATTTGTCATCAGCAAAGTTGACTAAWTTTAATAGTTTCAATGCCTTATACATATCACTTATAAATAACCAAAACAATTTTTGGGCCTAATACTGACCCCTGTGGGACACCACAAACTATGTCCAAACATCCAGAACAGTAATAATCCAGTTTTACAAACTGTTGACGTCCATTTAAATAACTCTTCACCCACTCTAATGCCAGTCCCTTTATTCCGTATTTTTCTGGTTTAAATAATAATAATAATAATAATAATAATAATAATAATAATAATAATAATAATAATAATAATAATAATAATAATAATAATATGCTATGATTGATTGTGTCAAATGCTTTTGTGAGATTAATGAATTCACCTAATGCATGCTTTTTTTGTCTATTGTATCAGTGATTCCTTCAGTTGATTCCATCATTGCTTGTGATGTTCTATTTGCTCAAAAGCCATATTGACTTTCAGCTCGTATCTTGTATTTGTCCAAAAAATTCTCCAATTGATCCAATTGATAGCGGCACGGTGGCTCAGTTGGTAGAGCTGATGCCTCTCAGCAAGAAGGTTGCCGGTTGCAAATCCCGGCCTGGGGACCTTTCTGGGTAGAGTTTGYATGTTCTCTCCATGCATGCGTGGGTTCTCTCCGGGTACTCCGGCTTCCTCCCACAGGTCAGTGGGATCACTGTTATTTTAAACGCTCTAGGAGGATAATTTTGAGAGAGTTTCTTTCTCTGCTACATTTCTAAGCTTATTTCCAGAGCAGGCGATTTTTAAGTGTTCCAGCATTCATTCAAAAGGTGGCTTCAACTCAACCAAGAAAGCTGTTAACCAACTGAAGAAATGTATTAGTCATGTTAGATACTGATTTTAAAAGCACTACACCATTTTCTTAGTTTTCCTTTTTAAGTATTGACTTTTATAATCCATTGTTTAACTGTTTTTATGACTTGATTAAAATAGTTTAGATACATGCCCGAAACACCAACACAACACATAAAAAAAGTTAATCAAAATAAGTACAGGTTTTTTGTCAGAGTGTCTGCGATTCAGCCGTAGGACAGTGGTGGGCGTACCAGGCACTGAAGAACATGTATGTTTGCCGGGACTTCCCGTTTTCATTCAGCATGGGTTTCATGATTGATGGATCAACATTAAACCTCCATTCATTCCAGTCACTGGTGTTGTATGGTCCTCCTTTKCATCACATTTAATCTATTCAACATTTATGTGGTTTTGTCTTGATTCCAGTTTAACGAACACTAAATTTTCTCACACAACAACAATTAAAAACATCTTAAACAACTTGGACGTCCATCTAGGTTAAGAATCTCCATTGAAGCACAACAAGTTAAAAGATCATGCAGATTGATGGTGTTAAGGGTTAACAAGAAGGTTAATTTGCTTCACCCCCACTATTAACTCGTATTAGATGTTAGTTATCTCAAGTTTCTGTTCACAGAGTACGCTGTTTATTGGTGAGTTTAGTGAAAGTTTTGTGTAGCCTGATCTGATTTATGTGAACCCACTTGAATACTGGTTCTTTTTGTCCTTTGAGTTGGATTTGGTCAACGACCAAAGAGAGCTTATCGGTGATAAGAAAGGGTCTGGCCCAACGTGGCATGAGTTTATGTGCAAGTTTTCTGGTTTCAGTGTTGGACTGACCAGTTTTTAGAGCAAAAATGTAGTACCAAACCCTATCCATCAACCTACCTGCCTTGAGGTTACAGATAATGGAATATAAAATATAATGTACAGATAATCGATGGATTTCAAACTGAAAAACAAAAAGAAAAAAATTGTATCAGGACTCTGTACCACAGAGMAGACAGTGTCCCTACAAACCCAGGAGCCAGGCAGAAAGAGAAATCACACAYACGACAGGCCCTGGAGCAGTGTGGTTATCCTGACTGGGCTTTCCTGAAAGCAGACAGGAAACACAGACAGGATTCCATGCAACCTTCAGGTGAAAATGAAGACCCCAAACCCAGACCCAAACCAGTGGTTATTCCGTATGTTGCGGGTGTTTCGGAGAAACTGAGACGTTTATTTTCTAAACATGATGTCCCAGYAGCTTTCAAACCCCAAAACACATTACGGCAAAGGCTGGTTCACCCCAAAGATCCGGTGCCCCGGCACAAACAGAGCAATGTTGTATATGCTGTTAAGTGCCAGGAGGACTGTGACCAGTTATACATCGGGGAAACAAAGCAGCCACTGTTCAAAAGAATGTCCCAACACAGACGAGCTACATCTAATGGCCAGAACTCTGCAGTTTTCACTCATTTACAGGMCAGCGGTCACTCTTTCAGAGATGAGGATGTTCTCATTCTTGATAGRGAGGAACGTTGGTTTGAGAGAGGAGTAAAAGAAGMCATTTTTGTGAAGAAAGACCATCCATCATTAAACAGAGGTGGAGGCCTCCGTTTTCAGTTGTCCCCCTCCTACAGCGCGGCTATTGCCAGTATCACTCCACCCCCTGTTAACAATAAGTGTTAATTAGGTGTCAACGATAGCCATGTGATGTGAGTATCAGTCACATGAAGGCAGGGCTTAAAAGCCTGAATTTTGCCTGAAACTCTCAGACTGAAGAAGTCTCTTGGAGGAGAGACGAAACGTTTCATTAGAGAAGAACCCGTCCAGAAGACCTATACAAGTTTTTTCTTTTTGATTTTTTACCTGGATTACGGAGATGCATCAGGACAAACTGAAAAACAAAATATTAAAATTTAACGTAAAATGAATGAGAAAAAAGAAACAAATGTCCTGACAAAGTACAAGCAGACCCAATWAGAGTGAAGGCTGCAGCTTGTAAACCTTCACCTTTTTCACATATCATCCTTACTTTTTAGAAAACAGAAGAAATTTACTATAATAATTAAAAAGACCACAGTATTAGACAGCAGACAAGGACAAAGACCAGCGTTGTACCTGTARAACAGGTTGGACTTGATACCAGCTGAAAGCTGAGAAAGGAGTGGCCAAGAGCTCAGAAGAAAGGAGCAAAGGAATGTGGCAGCTGACACATGGATAACTTGCTGAAACTGAGAGAGACAGGAAGGACAGTCACTAGTTTAATCTTCGTGAACATATACTTCAAATCTTTTTCAAAAAAATTGTTTTCTAATCTTTGGAGTCATCAGAAAAAAGGTAAGAATAAAAAAGTGTAATGATCTCTGTCAGACTGTGTATATGCTTGTTTATAACTTTTTATGACAGTTTCAGGTATAAATGCGCACCTTGTCATTCTTTTGGGGACCAAAAACTGATCCTTATATGGTGGAACACCACTGATTATGTATTAGGAATAGTTAGGGTTTAGGGTAAGTGTCAGGGTTTGGCTACAAAAATGATTAGAAGTCAGTATGGTTCCAATAAAGATAGAAATACAAACATGTGTGAAGTAAGAACCAATRTGATTTCTTCCTCATATGGTCCACAGTCTGCATGAGTTTAAACAGATTTCTCTGATGTATGTTATGAATACATGAGTGTTGGGGAAATGATGATCCTCTTTGGTTGAGCTTTAGTCAGAATGCTAACATGAGATTTCAGTATAAATATAGAGAGCAGCAGCGTTTTCAACAGAGCTGTGTAAAGCCAGGATTAGATAGTGTGCTAAGTATGATAGCTGCAGGTGTCATGATAGAAATGTAAGAATAAGCTTATGAAGTCAATCAAAAGGAAGCCATGTTTTTTTTCTTCATTAGATTCGTTTAAAAATATCTGAGCAGTAGCTGTAAGTTRTTAAAGATTTAAGTTTACTCTGGTAAACAGAACTATAACTGCTGGAACATTCACTTTGAGCTAATAAAGTGCAAATAAAAGAGTCTGCAGCCCTGCATTTGATTTTAAGACACATAAAAAGTTGTGTAAACAGAAGAAAACTGAACTTGATTCTTGAAGTGTTTCATCTCCTGAAAGTTTGGGTCAATTCTTATAAAATGCTGGGTTGTTCCATCTGTACACATCAATAATTCACTAGAAGGAAAGGTTTGATCTGTTTTCTCTCTAACATGGAGCTCTGGCTTGTTTAGAACTTGATGCCAACAGGTACCTTCACACGTTAACCAAACAAAAGTTTGTTTTGGTTTGTTTCTTTTTATTGCAGATGTCTCAAATATACACTTTAATCCAGTTTACAGGAATAAATGTCCACATTGTGTCAAAGATTTTTCTTGCTTTTATACTAACTACCTTATAAATTAGGTAATATTCTACGGTATATTTTGTTAGGTTGGAGTTCCATTCCATGCATCTCAGTCGTCGTGTCTTTGGGCAGGACACTTCACCCTCTTGCCTGATGGTGGTCAGAGGGCCTAGTGGCCCTGGTGCATGGCCCAGGATAGCTGTGGCTACAATGTAGCTTATCATTATCAGTGTGTGAATGCATGCATGAATGGGTGAATGATTAAAGTGAGGAGCTTTGAGTACACAAGGACTTGCTTAAGCACTAAATAAGTTCAAGCWATTTACCACTGACTTGTTTTATTGTTACATAATTATACAATTATCCTCCATAAAACCGTTATGAGCAATGCTTTTGTCCTTTCACATTTTTCTTATCTTCATTTTTTATTGAGACCTGGAAGGTGACCTCTCTGATGGGTAAGGAGCTAACACTCTCACTCCCGACTCGTCACATAGTGACGCTTTTCCAAACTTCCCTCTGCGTCTTTTTTTTGACGTGTAGGGTACACCCGTTGCGTCAGTTTTTGATGCACCAGGCATTTCCGTGTTCCCTCGGCGTCCAGGTTTGACGTGTTGGGACGCAAAATATAGGGGTCTTTGACTTGGGGTCCGTGGTTAGTATTTGGGATCAGGGTTAATGGTTAATTTTAGGTAGGGGGTCAGGGACAGCATGTCTAAGGTGAATATTAGGTAATTTTAGGCTTTGGAACATGTAGGTTCACGTGAATTTCCAACAATTTCTAAAAATGGTTAATTTTAGGTACTAGGGTCAGGGACAGCATGTCTAGAGTGAATAAAGGTAATTTTAGGATTTGGGACGGTAGTTTTTGTGCATTTTCTACACTTTCAGAAATTATTACAACAGATTCCGCCCCATCTCATCAATAACTGACGCGAGGGGGTACCTGACATGTCAAAATTGGATGCAGAGGGAACCTTGGAAGTGTCAATATGTGACGACTCGGGARTGAGAATGGGTTGAAGGAGGTGGTGCATGAAATTGAGAGGTATCAACTAGATATACCTGGTATAGCATGTGCTCTGGAACCAGTTTTATTGAGGGGTCAGGACATTATTCTTCTTTGCAGTTGTCCATTAGAGGTACTAAGTTGGCGTGAGTCTACTTTTGCTGTCCTGGCTTAGTGCTTKTGTGATGGAGTTTTCCCCATTAGATGAGGGAGTAGCTTCCCTGCACCTTCATGTGGGGTGCAGGGAATTACAGGGAATAGGTTTATGGAACTGTTTAAATATTAATTAGACAATTCTCACAGTGGCCATCCTCAAACTTGGTCGTGGACACCCAGGGTCATAGAGGCTGTCAGATAGAAGAAAGAGTCCTATAGCGCCTTGTTGGCTGGTAGGAGTCCAGAAAAAGACTCCTGGTCAGCTCCGAGGAGAATTTGGCATCTGGCAGCTGCAGTGGGCAAAGCAGCACTTCACTAACACAGTGTTTAGTAAAGGTGGGGTGCTGCTGATGAGTGATGTTGTCAGGAGGTGGAAGGAATACTTCTCAGACCTTCTCAATCCCACTGGCATGTCTTCTATGGAGGAAGCAGATGGGTTTTGGGGTTGGTCTGATTATAACTGGTGCTGAGGTTCCCAAGGTAGTTAGGGCTCCAGGGGTGAACAAGATCTGCCCTGATTTACCGAAAGCTCTGGAAGTTGTGTCTTAGTTGACATGCCTTTGCAACATCACGTGGACATCAGGTGCAGTTCCACTGTATTGGCAGGCTGGGGTGGTCGTTCCCTTCTTCAAAAAGGGGTACAGGAGCATGTGTTTTAATTATAGGTGYACTCTCCTTAGCCTCCCTGGTRARGCCTATTTAGGGGAGCTGGAAAAAAGAATCCGATTGATGGTCGAACCTCAGATTCAGGAGAATCATTGTGGGTTCCCTACTGGTTGTGGAACACTGGACCAGCTTTTCATCTTCACGAGGGTCTTCAAGGGGTCATGGGAGTTTGCTCATCCAGTCTACATGTGTTTTGTGGATGTGGAGAAGGCATTCGAACGTATTCCTCAAGGTACACTGTGCGGTTGCTCTGTGAGTATGGGATTGTGGCTTCATTAAGGGTGATTCTGTCCATCTACAAGTGATGCGAGCAGTTGGTTTGCATTGCTGGCAGTAGGTCRGACCCCTTAAGGGTGGGAGTTGGACTCTGAACAGAATCGTGACAACGAGCAGTCRTGGCAACTTTTACGGGCAGGATTTCTCGGTGCAGCCAGGGGGCGGAGGGAGTCYGGTTCAGTGACCTCAAGATTCCATTTCTGCTATTTATAGTTGATGTGGTTCTGTTGGCGTCATCGTACCGCGATCTTCAGCTCTCACTAAAGTGATTCACAGCAGAGTGGGAAAGGATCAGCACCTCTAAATCTGAGTCTATGGTCCTCAGTTGGAAAGGGGTGGATTGCTTCCTCYGGCTTGGGGCACGCAGTCCTGGCTCAGGTAGAGTTCAAGTCAGGCGCATCTCACTGGGAGGAGACCCAGAGGAAGACCCAGGACACGCTGGAGGGACTATGTTTCTCAGCTGGTCTGGGAATGCCTTGGGATTCCCCCAGAGGAGCTGGTCCAAGTGGCTGGAGAGAGGGARGTCTGGGTCTCTCTGCTTAGGCTGCTGCCCCCACRACCCAATCCTGGATAAGTGGAAGATGCATGGATGGATGGTTTGTGGATTTCAAGTATCTTGGGGGGTTTTGTTCACGAGTGAAGGAAGAATGGAGCAGGAAATTTACAGACGTATCGGTGCAGCTTCCTCAGTGTTGTGGACTCTGTTGTGGTGAAGAGAGAGCTGAGCTGTATCCATCTGAGCTGTGTACATGGCCACAAATTTTTGGGTGGGGACCAAAAGAACAAGATTACGGATACAGGCGGTTGAACTGATGACATCATAATGACATAAGCACATTTTTTCTCAGACATGACAAAGCATTTTCACACAAACCAAGGACCTTAACTGCCATCCAAAAAGTGTTACTATGGTCAAGTTGGATTTGTTTTATTTTTGGAAAATTTTATTGTAGTTTTGTGTTGTAATAAGTAAAAGCTTGTATCAATCTAATCTTTGTTCAACAGTCAATGTTTTTAAAAAATTGTGTATTTACTGTCATTACACCAGTAGTACAAAGCATGACACCTGAAATTTAATCAAACAAACACAATAAAGACTAAAATGTTTGTAAAGGTCAGGAGATGAGTTTCATGGTCGATTTAGTTCTAAAGCTATTCCCGTTAAAAAAAAGTGCTACTTATAATCCTGAAAACAATTCAGTTTGCTTTTTCCTATTTGTTACAAAGTTCAATCAGTAAAAGTTCAACTACGATAGAAAAAAACTTAAAACATGAATTCTAAATGTATTTTTTAACAGACAGAATGAAGCCAAGAGTTTGTGTTCTTTAGTCAACTTTATTGTTAGTGATGAAGAGTTTTAGATGTTTTTTTAATCTATTTTCCCTGCAAATATGTGTTAAGGTGTACAAAAATACAGGGTTGTCTTCATTACAGTTTTGGTTTTTAAATGATTTGAAATTCCCTGCTGGAGACGGTCAGGACTGTAGGCAGACCAGTCCAGAACCTGCCCAGCCTGAAGAATGTGATCTTATAAGGTTTTCATGAGAAATACTCAGACTTCCCAACAAAACACGTGGCCAAAAGTGTTGCTGTAGAATTCCTGCTGAACTTTTCTGCTCTGATGCTGCCATCAGAACCCTGACCCAAGCCCAGGACCACCACAGAACTGGGGTTTTGGACTTGTTGTTCACAACAGTCCAGATAATCCAACAAAAGTCCAAGCTCAAAAATATATGTATCATGCTAACTTGCTCACGTACCAAATCTTTATATTTTTTGTTAGCCTAAATGGGAGAAGTGTAGCTGAAAGGATCAGGGAGGTCTGACTAAATTCTGCTTCATGGTTAGACCTGATAAGTCTTTTGCAAAGGACTGTTTCCATATTTAACATGCTGACATCACGACCATGAGACCATAAACTCACCAAACCWGAATAACTTGATAGTGAAAATTTCCTCGTTTGTGCTTAGTTRTTGTGTGAAACAGTGGGTGTGTTCAGGTGCAGGAAGGACTGCTTCTTATAGAGTATCATTCTACTGGAATGCAAACAAACTAGTTGTTTAACTGAGTTTCACATTTAAACCATTTAATTTGTTTYAGGAAAGTCTTCATTTTAAGGTTCAAGTGAAAAACTCTAGTTTTTCTCATGTCTTTTGTGCATGCATGTGTTCTCTCCAGACACTCTGGTTTCCTCCCACAGATCAAAAACATGACTGTTAGGCTACTTGGTAACTCTAAATTCAATCCAATTTATTWATAAAGCTCTTTAAAATTCTTCCAAAAGAACAAAGTGATGTACAAGAAACTACAATAAAAACACTCAACAATGAAATATTAAAAATCAAATAGAGTAAAACAAATAATAAAATAAAAATCAATCAACAATAGATGAAAAACATAAAAACAAAGAAAAATTTGATMGAAAACATAAAAATCAACATCCTAAGATGAAGCAAACCCCAGTGATCAAAAGTGTGTTTTAAGCAGAGGTCTATAAAGTGCTTGGGAAAAAAAATAGCTAAATAAAAGTAAAAATATCTTAACAGTAAATGTCTTGTAAAAATACATTTCACTAAATAAAGGTCATAAAACATTTTACAAAAATGGAGAAAGTAAAAGTACTTTTACAAACTGTCAAAGAAATAAACTGTTGAATTTACATAACTAAASCAYTAAACCAAGATGAGTAAATTGAGCAACACACATTGTCTTTAAAAGTATTTACTTCACTAGGTTTAGTGGAACCAGACTTGTTTGAGTTAACACAAAAGTTAATTTTTAGTGAGCATAAGCAAATCCTTTCATGATGAGTTTGGATATATTTAATTTTGTACAGTACAACTAGGTGTTACATTTTAAAGTAAAGTAGTAAAAGTATGATGATTTTTAAAAATACTTGGTAAAATAACAAAATCCTGAAAAAAATTAAGTACTGAAACAAAGTAAATGTACTTAGTTTCTGTTGAACTAGGTATTTTCCTGGCGGTCATCTTTGCAGTTCTTTATTTGTAGTCCCTCATTTTATGGTTATCTCAAGTGGGATTGAACCCAAAAGTTAATCAGTTCAAGATAATTTTCTGAAAGTTTCATYATGATCCTGTCATTAGTTCATGASATATCTTGTTAACAGGAAGAAAACATAAGGTGTCTCTCTCTAAGTTAGTGCAAACAACTTGGGGAGGAATCAGAGAAGCATTCCATCCCAGTGAGATAAGAGCCATAAATCAGGAGAAGCCCAGCAGCTTGTCCTTGAGAAAGAAACGAGCAGAGCTCTGGGCGTTGACTGAGGATAATAGCTTTGGTCTACGTGGGCTACGGGACGCACKCTGTCTCCAGGTGATGTTGGCTGTGAGTTTCCTGCCGTTTCTCTGAGAGCTCTTATAAATTGATTGTGTGTCTTRTTTCAATATCTGSTGTGTAATAAATTCACTTAAAACTATTTTTAACTTCCAGTACAATTTTCTCAGTTTAGCTGTTTTCAGACAAAAGAACTCAGYGAGATCAAAGGTCAAAGACGGAAATCCTGATCTCTACATTACTATAACTCTCTGGTTTTAAGAGATGATTTAAAGAGAGGAGCTTGATAACTGAAAGCTCTGCCTCCCATTCTACTTTTAGAAACTCCAGGAACCACAAGTAAACCTGCAGTCTGACAGTGAAGTGCTCTGTTAGGAAAGKATGGAACAATAAGGCCTGAGTCACACCACAAGAAAATCAGGCTGATTTTTGCCTTTCCGACAATCTTAATGAAGTCCAGATTATGGTGATGGCTCTATAGATAATCTGAGCAGATACTCCTGCCGTGGGTGGTGAGTTAAGAGTGATCTAGTCAGCTTGGAAGGATGTCAGGACCGCTCCGACCTCAAATCAGGGATATTCAAYGTGCTTGATTTTTTTGGTCCGATATCACAGTGTGTAGTGTTCACCTGAGCTCTCAGCCTGTTGAATGAGACGTGTAGCCAATCAGAAAGCGAGGTGACATAAACAAAAACTGTCATAAATCACCAGAAACTCTGCTGGACRTTAAAAGTCTTATGGGATTGTTTTTCATCTGGTAAAAATAGTTCACAAGCGATCCACATTGTTTCTTCCTTGTTGCAAATGTTTATTTACTCTGAACTCACGKCTCTCTGGAGGTCACGTGAGATTTCTCCTCAGGCATCTGAATTCTCGCAAGATTTCAGGAAGTCTCGTGTGATTTAATATCTGACAGTTCATGAATGAAATCTCTTTTGGTGTGTGGTGTGTTGTCTCTTGCCGTGTGTCTGTACACCACCCACTGTGGGACCAAACCTGGTACATCCATGATTTTTTTATCCTCATGTGTGGACTCTATCAGTCTTTGATAATCGGCTGAACGGTTTAAAATATTGTAGTGTGACTCAGCCTTAAGATGTTCAGGTCCAAGAACCATAACCTCTGTCTTATC